GTTATGTATGTGTGTGTGTGTGTGTGTGTGTGTGTGTGTGTGTGTGTGGTGCGCGCGCGCACACGCACACATACACACACTACACAAATACATATACACATAGCTTACATGATTTATGTCCAGAATTAATAGATGATCTTGCAGATAAGGCACTTCGTACACGTATATTTCCAGTCACATCTGATATAACACTCCTCGATCCCAATTTGCTTTCATGATTCGATAAAACAGGTGCACTTGTATGTTCGTGTATTAAAGTCATTGGTTTCATCTGTTCTATTTTTAAATTTTGCTTACATCTTTCGTCCAAATGACTATTTTTTACTAAACATTTGGAGATATTTTGCTTTCCATGTTTTGAGTCTCTAATTGAATATTTAGTATTAAAATAATTTTGTTCACAAGTGCTATCATACTCAGCTATTTGAACAAAATCTTCCTTGTCATATTCTATTTTTGATTTCTCATCTGATTTTGTTGGGGCTGTTATAAAGTGTTTTCGATTTTGTATATCCTTCTTAGGAAGACATCTTACTCTAACTTTCACTACTGACTCATCATCAAGGGAATTTGAAGATTCAGAAGCAACAATATTATTCGAGGAATATTCAATATTATGAGTTTCTTTGAATAGAGCTTGTTGTTTGTTGATTATTTTTGTTTTAATCTCTTCTTTTCTTTGTTGTCTTTCACGTTCTTTTATCTTTCTATAAATCTTTAAGTCTGAAAAAAATAAATAATTTTTATCACAATCAAATTTGTAATAAAGTATTTTATAATTACGTATTATTTTATCATACCATATTTCAATTTTATTGAAATGATATAATATAAAAACATAATGTATAAATAAACAAATATATAAACAGATATGCATTAATCACAGTAATATTAATTCTTCAATTTTGTATAAGGATATAACAAGTAGATAAAAAAAAAGAAAAAAGAAATGAGTATCGATGTAATTACCTTTCATAAAAGCTTTTAATTGAGTCGCAGTAATGCCGACAAATCCTAATGAATTCAGAAGAACGAGAACTTCACGTGGATCATCTTTAATCTCCGACATAGTCACATCGAAAGATAAATTTGAAAAAATTCGAAAGATGTATACTAAAGATGCATATATATATACATATATATATATATATATACACACACACACACACACACACATACACACACACACACTATATAATAAC